TGGGGTGTGCGGAGCGTTTCGGTCTGCACTGGCCGTGGCTTGGTGGTGTTGATCTGTGATCAGTGTATACCTTTTGGCATTATTTCTTTAGCTGTTAACAGGAAATAACTCCTTTTTTAATAAACAGTAGTAATGACAATGCTGTGTATCTGGTACCTATCCCTCAGCTAACGTCCTGCATGTCTTACATTATATAAAAGGCAACTGAAATGCTTTGTGATATGTGTTGCTTCTTCAAAGGTGTTAGGTTGTCACTTCTGGAGATCAAAGTCCTTTTTCAAAGAGCTAACAGCAGCACGTGTTTTTCCATGCTTCCTCTTGTCCATGCTTCAAACCTGACCTTGAGAGGCTGTTTATTAGAAGCATATTTGTGCTATGGAAATTTACCCAGCTGCGTAGAGCCACTTTCCTGTCGGGCTGGAAAACCCTTCCCATCTGCACGCAAAATTTTGCCTGGCGGTTTGCAAGGCAACTAGTTTTGTGCGAAAGAAGTGGCACGTCCCTGGGCTGCTGCCCCTCTCGGTGTTGCAGACGTCAAGCTCAGTCCTGCGGTGTCAGCTCGGCTAGGAAACAGTGAAAGGGCTGGATTAGTCCTGGTGTTACTGGATCACCGCATCCCCTCAACAACCCCCAGGATTCACTGTGTATGGAGAAACTGCGCCGAGAAGGGGAGGTTGGTAGCAAGAGTGATTTGCCGTTGCAGCAGTTCATGTGAGGGCACAAGGCACGGGTACAAGGCACATTCACAGGAGTCCTTAACTCTGTTCAGCCTAGCTAGCCTTGCCTTTGTGCTTCCTCGTATTGCGTAAGCACCTAACTCAGCCTGGCAGATCACTGGTCTGCTCCTGCACTAACGTGGGCTGTGTCGAAATCGCAGTGCTTGCTGTTAAAGGAGAGCTTTCTCACGGCTGCAGTCTTGAAGCCACCCAGCCAAGACGTGTTCCCATGGCCCGCTCTTGCTTGTTGTGACTGTTGTGCACTGTGTGGATGTAATACCTAGCTGCAGGAGCTCGGTGGTTTCCCGGTGGCACTAATCTGCTTGGCTCCCAATGCTGGCTTTCCCCAAGCTGTGTAGAAGATAAAGCAGCTGTATGACGTTTTGAGTCAGGAAGAAAACTCCTCCAAGTCCTTTTTAAGGACCTCCCCTGCCTCACAGGCTTAGTGTTAGCCAAAGCTCTCACATGAGGTAAGTTCTGATGCATTTAGTTGTCTTCTACAGGCCTCTACGACTTCTGCCTATCTCCTACCAGCAGTGTCCCCCCCACCCCCCCCCCCGACAGCAACCATACAAAGCTACACAGAGGCCTGCTTCCAAAGTGCACTTTGTGGCATGTAGGCTCCTGCTGTTTCCTTGGGAGCGAGAGGGAGCAAGAAGAGGGGAACTAGCCTTGTCGTAAATGCAGCAAAGGAACCAGCCCTCTTAAAGAGCAGTTTCTTTTGTGACAAAAGCCGTGTTTCAAGTTAAGACAGCTTTGTGATAGCAAAGTCTTTCCTCTCCCAAAGAAAGGGAAAATTAGCTGTGCTAACATTCTCCTGATAAGATGCGTGCCTGTTATATATTAACTCCTTGAAGAATGCTGCTTAAGTACAACTGTTAAAATTCCTAGCAGAGGAGATCTACAGGAGCTACCAGGGTGCAAAACAGGAGTGGCATTTTTCCACCCGTGTGCAAAGAGCAGGATTTTCCCAGTAGCTGAACACCTCCAGCTGCCATTGCTTTTCGGAGTGGAAGAGATTCATGAGCTCTGAAACTCCGGGTCTTGTACGTCCTAGGGTTAGGCCAGAGGGAAAACTCTGGATACAAAATACCTGATCAACACCTGAGTTTTGCAAATGCTTACATGAGTAAGTTCTTATCTTAGTAGCAGGTTTCTAAAAAAACAAGCAAGCAAGCAACGCTGTCCCACGTTACTGTGGACTGAATTACAACAAAGGCAGAATACTCCCGAACTGCAGGAAGTCTGAAATTCAAATCTGCCCTTTGAGACTGGGCCAGTCTTTTCATTTCCATTTCAGAGGAGAAAACAGCCCGCAGTAGACTGAGCTGGGAGTAACTTGCCAGACCTAGTGTATTAGCAATAAGTTTTGAGTGAATAGATATCAGCAAAGATCACAAAGTATAAGATGGAGTATATCTGTATTTTACCATTTTATCTTCAGTCACAAGCACTTTCAGAACTGACTAGAGGTGCTGATTTTCTTAGTTTTGTGTGTCTGTGCAGAAAAGGGAGGGGTATCCAAACTACAGCACAATTTTCAGAACACGAGAGCTTAGCAGAAACTATTTCCATTGCCATATCAGTGCCAAATAAGGAGTACTAGATACTGGACATCAAATATTAGACTCTTTATCATTAAAGGACTGAAAATATGTTATTCTGAGAAGCACAGAAGAAGTTTAAAGGGTGCTGCTAGACTCTGATTTATGTACCGTTTGGCATGCTGCCAAGCCCATCCTTGCAACACTGAGACAACCCTCTCTGCTACCAGGCTGTGCCAGCACACTCCACTTCCACGGTGTCCAATACGCTAGCATCCGGTTTCCAAAACCCTCACCTAACAAAACACTACGTCACTTGAGCCGCACAAGCCCAGTTAATACCCACGTGGAGCAGCCTTGAGTCCGGCCTCCAGCTCTGCACTTTGCATTGGTGCAGTTAGTTTTGCGAAGGAGGTCAGTTGTCCTACGTTGCAACAGACTCTGCAATGTCTAATGCAAATAGTTCTGCTAGTTGGTTTTCCTTTTCCATTCTGGCACAAGTAAGGCCTGGAAATCTCTTGGGCATTAGGCAATGGGTTTAGATATGCATCTTGAAAGGTACCTGACCATGATTACTTGTCTGAACCTCCTGATGTCATTGCGCCATGTCCTCAGGACAATTTCTGTCTCTACCAGCAGTTTAAAACTCTCAGGATGTCTTAAGTGGTTAAGGGCAGCAATGTTTTCTTCTTGTCCAATGAAGAGAGACAACAGTGAGATGGGAAGAAGAACTTAGTGTTTTAGTACCTTCCAGGAGTTGCAAAATTCTTGGAGGAATTATTGCCTCTCTCCCAGGCTGTTCACTCACAGGCTCCCAGTGAAATTGCAGCTGATAGCTGGGAAAGATCCAGTCCCATGTTAACCAGGGGCCTTGCAAGCCCTGTCTTCAAAGCACAATTGACTAACTCAGACCCAGCCATTTGGCAAAGCCAAGCCAGGTCCTTATTCACCTCTGAATATAATCCATTCACCTCTGCAAAGAGATGGGCAGGCAAGGCCTGCTGGGCCAATGATTGTAGAACGAAGCACTGAGTGACAGCTGTTACGACCCTATACAAGAGCCTCCTTAGGGGGGACGTGGAAAAGGGAAGTCATTAAGCCATCCCGTTTGTTAAAATTCAAAAGAGGGAGGGGGCAGTTTACTACATAAAAAGGGGGCTGTGGCTGTCTGCAATTTTTGCATGATGGGGGCTGCTTTGGGGGGAAGGCTGAGCTGGAAATGGAGAGACCCAAGACAAAGGTTAGAGGAAACAGCACTCTACTTCTTTCCTGTATTTGAAGCTGATAGGAAATTGCAGAAAAATGCTTTCACGAAGGAAAACGTACTAGAGAAGAGATTGTAGGATGATAATAGATGTTGAGGGAAATGATTTCTGAGCTGACTTCCCACTGACTCTCTAGGGGATGGAGGGCTTGATGGAAAACAGCCTCTTCTCTCGGGGTTCAGCTTCATTAGCATCAACAGAAATGAAACTTCCACAGATGAAAATAGCCTGCAAGGGGGAAAAAGAACCTACCTGATAGATAAATCATCTAGGACAGGGGGGTTTTAAAGTGCAGCCCGCAGGACACTTACTGCTTAATAAGCCTCTACATGCAGCCCAAAAAGGAATTTTTTCATTTTTTTATTTTATTTTTTTTAACTGTGGCATTGTATTTATCTGGGGTATCATGCTGTGGATGAATGTTATGTGATGCAAGCCCGATAGCCCACAGATGGAGTGAGTGTCTGTGAACATGACTAATGCTGCAGTAGGGCTGTCCGGCCTAGACCTTCCTCAAGTTTCCTTTAGGCATGAGCGCTATCTGTACTATGCAAAATAGGGCTTTCGGAGATGAGGGGAAAAATGAATTTCTTACAAGTCATATGCTCTCTCCTGCGTTTTTGTTAGCTTTCGCAGGAATTAGGCTTCAAAACCAAAAAGGAAGTACTAAAAGGCAATTAGATTTTTCAGTTCTTAATGTCAGTACTAATCAATTATTTGAACTCTAGCTCTATTTCTTCTCCCTTTATTGTAGGGCTGTTCTGGGTAGCCTGCCACAAAATGGCTGGGATAGTGAGGCGCTACCTCTTTTGCAATCTAGAGCCTCTTAACTATGGGCAGGGAAAAGCAAGCTCAGGGCTGCATGTGTTGAAATCCTAACAGCTGAGAGAAATCTGGCTGCAGAGCCCCTTCAGCCCTCAGGGCTGCATAAAATGGGTCAGTGTGCAGGCTGGATGAAAGGAGAGAGGAGAACTCGTTAGTTCTGGATTTTTTTGTTTCTTTGAGCACAAATTTAATGTTGAACTACTTCCTCCCTTGAGGGATTGACGTGCTAAAAAGCCGTGCTACAAAGAGGGGACAGAATAGCAATTCGAAGAACGGCAGAACCTAAATGAAAGGGAATCTGTGTCTCTGAAAGCAACAGTGATTTACTGAGACATTTGGAGATTTCTGGGAATGTGTTCCCACTTCCGTACTGCTTTATGGAAGCAACTTCCTGCAGGATGAAGAAAACTTGTCATGCATTTCTGTCATGCTGCTTGCAGAGTTGCTCTAGTGTCCTGCCCTTGCCCTTTGCTGGAAGGGTGAAGTATAATACTGCTGTCCTAGTGTTTGGGCCCGTGTGCTGAAACTTATGTTAGAGGAAAAACCACACGTTCCCCTCGCAGGTCATGCACTTCTGCAAACAAATGCACCACTCAGAGCTTGTGAAATTTAGGCTTGGAAATGACTGCACAGAAGGGATGATGCGGGCCTGGAGGGAAGCAGTCGGGGAGGAAAATGTCATTAGCTTGCCTCTGTCTTTCTCTCATTAGCTCAAGTCATCCTCCCCGCTTGTTGTCAAGTGCCCAGGCAGCTGAGGAGGCACCAAAGCAAGCCTCCATCTCACTTGCCTTCCCTGACCCCCACGTTGAAGTGCCATCAGCCACTGACAGCCTAGCAAATCCTAGCAGAGCCCAAACGTAGGGACTGTCGTCACAGCGAGCGCCCTGCTGACTGCGAGAAAGCTGGCTGCTGTGTTTCTTAGCAGAGAGAAGCCTCTGGAAACAGCTGCAAAACAAGGTCTGCACATGGAAAATACAGGTATTTACTGACTTTCTTGCTTCTTTTATGGCTATTGATTGGAGTTAGACTTTGATATTTAAGTGCATAGAGAAAGGGAAAAGCGCACAATTTTTCTAATGCTGATCCAAGTAGTTTCTGCAGGTGTTGCCTATTTAATCTGAATAAGAGTTTCCTTACTAATAAGAGTACACCTTCATCCCCATCTCCTCTCCGATGCAAGTAGAAGTCTCCACCTGACCCCACAGTGGGTAGCTTGTGGGCAGGCTTGTCTTAGAGGTGAAAGGAACTGGATTAAGAAGGGAATGAGTGGAGGAAGGAGCAGAAGCCACTACCTCTCAGGGAACGGCCAGACAGTGCTGAAGCTCATGTAGACAGTGTAGACCTTGGGCCTCTCCAGTTATGACCCCAACAGGCTTTTTGACCTTCTGGCTCCAAGGTCCCTATGAAGTGCAGGGACCTCTTCACCCCCACACCATAAGGGATTCCCAGATGAAGTATGACCATTTCAAGGGCTTGAAACTTTACCCCATTAAAATAAGAACCCACAAACTCGACCTGCTCCTTTAAGAAGTTCTAAACTTTCCAAAGGTGGATACTCGCTTGCCAGAGTTGACAGAGAGCCAGGGAGTAACATGCTACCAGCTGAGGTGTCAGCACCTGAAACTAAGAGCTGGGAAACACAGGAGGCAGGGTCAGATGCTTACGAACTGAAGGACAAGTCCTGAAACAAAGGACTTTTGCTAGGTTTGTCACTCAGAACTTAAAAACCCAACCAAACCAGCAAAGTGGGTTTAGGTTCCCTTCAGGTAGCATGCCTGCAAGTTATCTCTCTTCGAGGACACAGCAGTTCACACAGTACAGCACTGAAGTGTTGTGCGCTGACACACCGCTATCGCCAGGTCCTAGCAGACGTGCCATTGCCTCTTCACAAACAACCCCCCCCTTCTCCCTTCCCCGTTACTTGTCAAGAGCAGAAATAACTTTGAAACTCTAGCTTTTTCAGCCGGATCTCCGGAGCTGAGGCGGACAGGGTAGGAAGGGAGGGGAAAAGGTGTGTTCCTCCCTCTGAGTCATTTCAAAGCACGGGAAGGGCTTGCCCAGGAGAGCTACAGCTGCTCACATGGAGTAATGAGCAGGGTAAAGACTTAGTGCCCTGTAACAGGGCCTACTGCCTTTTTAGGGCACGCCAGGGCCGAGGTTATTTGGACTCTGGAGGAGGACAGAAGGTCTGTATTTGGGAAAACCTGTGCTGTTGTTCTTGCCCTAGGATCCTACTTTCTGCCGTACAAAACTTCCCCTTAATGTCTTTGAACCAACCTGTCTCTTTTTCAGTGAAAATTATGCCTACACGGAGGGTTAACAGAGGTTTTTACTTCCATTTTGCCTACTCGTAATTTGAAGCAACTTCACAAGCATGCTAATATTGCTGCTGAAAACATTAAGTTCTCAAAACCCACAGTGATGGGTATAAAGCTGCTGGCAGGTCCTAGGCGCCTTCCAGAGCAAAAAGGGGAAAGGAAATTTGGCTCTTTGTTACTGATTCTGGAAGAAACAGCTTCCTGCTTGCCTGTCAAAACGCAAATGAATTCAAAAGAGCCCATTTCCTTTAGAGTACAATGAGGTAGCCATCATTTCAGAAAAAGCTACCGTACCTCGCTAGCAAATGAGACTTTGAAGAGCATGAATGTCGTTAATAGCAAATAAATTCACTCTGGCCCAAAGGAAGACCTAAAAGGTTCTGTCTCTTCCTGTGAAGTGTTGCAATAAGACTCTGCAGAGAAGGTAGAAATTCCTGTAGAGCATTTGCAATGAGACGTAGGGAAGGATGCCTTTGACACTGTAGCAGTAAGTTTGGGGTTCTAAAATGGCACAGGACTGCTGTTTTCCTTAAGCCAGTGGAAGCTGGAGAAAAATTGCCATGTAGATCTGTGATTTGCGCGTCCCAAGTCTTACACTGCTGCCCTAACAGGGAAGGGGGTTGAGCAAAGTTTGAGCTCCTGTTGCAGAAGTTCAGGGGAGATTGAGCAAATACACCAGGTGACAGGCTCACACCCAGCATTTGAAGGACTTTGTCACCTACACTGTTGGAGAGGTGCGTATCCCATGACTGCCACTGCATGGGCCGTATCACACAGCAAGGGAGAAAAAGCCTGAACAGTTTCATACGTCCTTCAGAGATCACATGTTGGAGAGGGGCCTCCTGGCATCTCCCGGGCTTGCTTATACAGAAGCAGGTGTGCGGTGGGCTTCTGAGGTGACCCTGAAATGCAAGTGTTTGTTTTTGGTTGCAAGTGGCACGCAGCAACTGCCCCTCGGAAAAAAGGCCCTTCCGTAGGTGTGGTGGAAATGCAGGCTCCCGCCTTGTGGGTTAGGCCGAGGTTAGGCAGGATGGTGACTAACACTAGGAGAGGCTGGTGGAGGAAGGTGCGAGTATGTCACTATTCATGTGAACACCCTGATCCTGGAGCTGTTCAGAAACTGCCTGTGGACCTGAAAACTGAGCAGCACAAGGAAATATCAGCTGGGCAGGACAAATAGCTGTGGCCTTATCTGCGCGGAGGTGGGATCAGTGACAGCCTCTGTCTGCAGCTGTCTGACGGCTTGGGAGCATGACACAGATTTGTAATAGACTCACGCCTTCACCTTCATTTGTCCCTGCCTAAAGGAGAGGGGAGGAACGAGGCCGGGCAGGTCTTCCTGTCCAGGGTTTGGTAGCTGGCCATTTGAGAGGACGTTTCAGGGGAGGCCAACAAGGAAGCGTGCGTTGGCCAGTACAGTGAAAAACAGCTCACCTTGTAGCTGTGCAAGAGCTGGAATAGAGACTGTGGCTTTGTGCACATCACGTAAAGGTACTGCAGCAGTGGAAGCAGGATGCGGCAGCCTTTGGGGTCTCCATACATGAAACACTGAAGACACATGGAACAGCCCTCCTATTTCTACTTATTCCTTCCCATCTCTACTTATTCCACTAGACATCTCCTAGGGTACACGTACATCCAAGGATGTTTGTTCATGGGGTACAGTACTCACCTCTTAACTTGTAGCAGCACCAAGACAGCATGTGAAACCATGAGCTGATCTGCCTCCAGGAAAAAAAGGCAAACTCTTACCCCTTGCTTTAAACCTGGCTTTTCGTTAGGCATGTAACATCTGGACAAATGCATAATGCAGTCAGTGAGACCTTCCCCACCAGCCTTGGCTTCCTGCTTTGGCTCCCAAATGTTCCTGCCAGTGAGGAAGGCTGCTCAGCCTGTCTTCCCGCTCACGAAAGCTACTGTCCTCGGGACAGACTGCTTTGGAGAGTCTGCTGGTGATGGAGCTGTCCTTATGAGTGCTCTGCCACCGGTTTCTCTCCTGCTGGGACAAAACGCAGTCCCAGCATGTCACTGGCTGATGGTGGGGCAGGCTGGGGGCTGAGACACAGCCAAGGCACCCTGCGGCCTTTGACACAGGGGACACTTCCAAGGGATACTTCTCGTTTAGCCAAGGAGAGGCGCTCTTGGATGCAATCCTAGGGCTGTTACCGGAAGGAATCCTTGGAGCGGCCAAAACATTCAGACGGCATTTAGCGCCGTGACCTTTGAACGCTTCCACGGGCTTATTCAACTGGAGTGTAGAAATCACTTTGGGTGAGGCAAGGCTCAGTGTGAATCTGTTATGAATCACGCTGTTGTGATGTTGTCCACTGGATTACGTGGTCTCCCAACCCCATGCACTTGAGTTCTGGGTGGTTAAACGCAGTTTGCTTCAACGTGACAAATGAAACATTTGGGAGTGTCCATTACAGTTGTCTACAACTGCTAGGTGAGCGCTGAAGCAGATAAGGCTTACTGTGCAGTAGGCTTAGTGTTGTTAAACTATTAGTCTGTTTGGGCTTTTGTTTCCAAACTCCTAAAAATCCCAGCTGTTGAGGAGGTTCTCTGCACAGCAATGCGTTTTATCCACGGAGGTAGCTGAATGCCCTCTAGTGCGTTTTCCTTCCCTGTCACTGACTGAGAGGAATTCCCCTCCAGCTCAAAAGATAGAGACTTATGCCAGCTAACAGGAAAAACCAGGCACCAACGTGTTTTGGGCAACTAGCTGTAAGATAAGTTGGTTTTACCAACCGGTACCTGGGCCTGAATACCTCCTGGGTGATGCTCTGCACAGACCGGGAGGATAACACTACCTGTCTCCCGTATTGCCCTCCCCTGCAGACGGGAGAGCACTATGCAGGAGTAAAGAGCAACCCTGAACCTGCCCAGAAATGAGAGTCTTGTGTATATACGCTTAGATATCACAGGGGGGTTTGGTTCACGTTCTAACTGAGCTGTGTAATTTGCTCAGTAAATTTATAGCTATATCCCTTGCTCAGTACTGACCGACACAAAACAAAGATGTACTGTACAAAAGCTATCGGCTCGTGATCTGCCATGTCCATCAGCTGTGTTTTGTACTGCATAAGGGCAAATCTCGGTAAGTGCTGGGGAATGGAGGAGTTCAGAGTAACCAGCAGTTGTTTCTTATAAGGTGCATGGGCATAGCTAGGCTTTAGGATAGGAGTACCGCTCCTGAGCTCCTCTCTCCTTTATCTTGCCTCTCCAGAAATCTTACGCTGCAGGCTTGAGACTACATTACTTTACACACTATATTACTACTACTACTACAGTAGATCAGCATGCAACATTGTACTGAGGGAAGCTTATCTTTTGGGGGCAGAGCTGCCTTTCAAGCAAAAACCCATGAGAAATTTGGAATTAAGTTCACCTTGAGCTCCCTTAAACTTCGGTCCTGCTGTTGCCCCTCTTTGGGATTCAAGAAGCCAACGATCCCCAATGTACACTTTCCCTGCGCTTAAACACAAGTGCAATGAGATGGCATGCTCCAACAATCAAAGCAGGCAGCCTGCTCTCTGGCTCTCCAGCTGCTCCCAGTGGGAAGCCTCAGCCGTTGTAATATTTATCTGCTTTTATGTGCTGCACACTGGTTTTTATGAAACTAACGGTCTCCAGCTGTTTCCAGGTGTGCAGCTGGACGGT